TAGGAGTCAGTTGCCAAACATCTGAATTTTAATCACGTGGCCATGGGGGAATGCTGCAACAGTCATAAGTTACAGGAAAAAAAGTCTTAAGTCACTTTTTTCAGTGCTATTGTCACTTTGAATGGTCATTAAATGAACTGTTGTAAGTCAAGGACTACCTGTATGTACAATTGTGGCCAAAATTGTGGAAACCTTTTGGAAAAAGTGTATTTTTGAGGTATGATTCTGATCGCTAATAACACCACTTTTTTTTCAAGTTTCAAGATAATCAATTGGGTTAAGGCCTGGGAATAGCCCAGACCTTAACCCAATTGAAAATCTATGGAGCCAACTAAAGAAACTTGTTAGTCAGAAGCGACCCAGCAATAAAACCCAGATAATGGAAGCCATCATTCAATCTTGGTTTCACATTATAACAGCTGCAAAAGATTTGGTTCACTCCATGGGAAGACGTTGTAAGGCCGTCATTCATGCTAAAGGTTACCCAACTAAGTGTTAACCGACAGGGTGATAATTTTTGCATATCTCGTTTTTTCTATGGTGATAATTTTTGTATATCTCATTTTTTCTATGTGTTTCACTTTTCTTCTTTATACTGTAACTGCTATTCTAATAGCAAATTCTTCATAAAAGGTATTGCATTACATTCTTGATTAAATTATCTTTCCATTGATATATAATTTTATGGTACTACTCCCAAAAAAAAAAAAAAAGTGGTGTTATTAGCTAGTTCCCAAAAGATTTCCACAATTTTGGCCACTACTGTATGTATGATTACTCATATTGAAACTTTGGGTTTGGGAGTAGTAGATATTGGTCAACCAAGTGAGAGGACAAACAGCAGAAGAAAAGGGGTCATCTTCGATTCTTCTTTGGACTTGCAAGAGATCGTTTCGTTGATAGGATGCGACTCTTTGATGTTAGAGGTTAGACTGGAGGGAATTTAGTTCAGGTTTCATTTGACCCCAGTCTGGAACTCTCTGCATGATTTTGGATAAGTGACTGCCTCTCAATCCAGCCTCCCTCACAAGGTTATTTATATTTATTTGTTATGTTTATACACCACCAGGGGTGAAAGTCAAAATTTTTCCTTACCGGTTCTGTGGGCGTGGCTTGGTGGGCGTGGCAGGGGGAAGGATACTGTAAAATCTCCATTCCCACCCCACTCCTGGGGGAAGGATATTGTAAAATCTCCATTCCCACCCCACTCTGGGGCCAGCCAGAGGTGGTATTTGCCGATTCTCCAAACTACTCAAAAATTTCACCCCTGTATATCACCCATCTCACACTTATGTGCCAATGAAACGTCATCCTGCTGTGGGACCTCCGAGAAAGAGCAGAAAGGCAATGCCACCAATGAATTAAAATACATTTTGGATTTCATTGTTACTTCTGCTAGATTACAGATTAGGAAACAGAGCCAACAGAGAGGCAAAATGTGGAGCCAGGCCCAATAAAGGCTTATAAATCCACGCCTGCGTTGCCTATCATGATGTGGTAAGCAGAGAAGCCAATGTGGAGCAGAAAATGGGTGGGTCATCCCATCTCGATACTTTTCCTCCTCCTCCTGCCTGCTTGCAATTTAGGGATCAACTGAAGCTGTAAATAACTAGAAACCATGTAGGCGATATTGTTTTAAACAAGTAGGAACTGGGTATGTCTAGTTTAATGAAAAGAAGGAAGAGGGGTGACATGATAGCAGTCTTCCAATATCTCAGGGGCTGCCACAAAGAAGAGGGAGTCCAGCTATTCTCCAAAGTACCAGAGTAGAACAAGAAGCAATGGGTGGAAACTAATCAAGGAGAGAAGCAACCTAGAACTGAGGAGGAATTTCCTGACAGTGAGAACAATTAATCAGTGGAACAACTTACTTATTTATGCCCTCAATTTATATAATGACCCATCTCAAGAAATTACTCTGGGCAGTGAGTGGGGCTAAAAAAACAACAACAGATCAATATACAAAAATTAAAATGTGCAATGCACAGCAGCTGATAGAACCACTACATTCATCTGCGCAACAAGCAGACAGGCCTCTTCACACTCTCAGGGCCTCAGACCCAGGCCCAGAACCAGGTCTTTCTGGTCTTGTAAAAAAAAAAAAAAAAGCCAATGCAATCCTAAATTGCATTAACAGAGGGATACAATCAAGATCAAGTGAGGTACTAACATCACTCTATAAAGCCTTAGTAAGACCACATCTAGAATACTGCATCCAGTTTTGGTCACCGCACTATAAAAAGGATGTTGAGACTCGAGAAAAAGGGCAGAGAAGAGCAACCAGGATGATTAGGGGACTAGAGGCTAAAAAATATGAAGAACAGTTAAAGGAACTGGGCCTGGCTAGTCTAGTGAAGAGAATATTCCAATATTTGAGGGGCTGCCACAAGAGGAGGGGGTGAAGCTATTTTCCAAAGCACATGAAGGCCAAACAAGAAATGATGGAAGGAAACTGAACATGGAGAGATTCAACCTAGAAATAAGGAGAAATTTTCTGACAGTGAGAACAATCAACCAATGGAACTTGGTTTGCCTTCAGAAGTTGTGGGAGCTTCATCACTGGAGGCTTTCAAGAGGAGATCGGACTGCCATCTCTGGTGTACGGTCTCCTGCTTGGGCAGGAAGGTTGGATTAGATGACCTCCAAGGTACCTTACAACTCTGTTAATCTGTAATCTATAAAATAGGAGACAACTTGATTTTGGGAGGGAGAATGTTTCAGAGGCCACAGGGAGTTCTGTGGCAGTGGTTAGAGTGCAGTACTGCAAGCTACTTCAGCTGACTGCTAGCTGCAGTTCGGCAGTTCAGTTCTCACCGGCTCAAGGTTGACTCAGCCTTCCATCCTTCTGAGGTGGGTAAAATGAGGACCCAGATTGTTGGGGGCAATATGCTGACTCTGTAAACCGCTTAGAGAGGGCTGTAAAAGCACTATGAAGCGGTATATAAGTCTAAGGGCTATTGCTATTGCTGTACTACTAAGAGTTTTTAACATTTTACAAAGTGAGCGGTTCTCTCTCCTGGACCTCAAGACTATGTCAGTGTCCCAAGCCATGGAGGACTTTAAAGGAAACTACCAGCTTGTTGACTTGCATCCGGAAGCACACTGGGGCCTGATGCAATTCCCAAAGTACTGGTGTCATGTGCACCAAGCAACCAGTGCTATTTACTATCCAATGCTGTTGCATTTTGCACCAAGTGTCTTTAAGCACAGCCCCTTTCAGAGGTCATTGCCATAGTCCAGACTGCAGATTTTTCTTATCTGGTACATCTGGAAGACACCAGCCTGGGGATTGTATAACTAACTGTTAGCATTGTATCAAATTCTCCTATCTCACCCCCAAAATACAGCACATATTCCCTTTTTCAGCAGTGCAATCTTGGCTCATTTTGTGGACATCTCCCCCCCCCAGAACATAATTGTGTTAAGTCTATTTTAAATTACATGGAAACATTAAATTACATAGAAACCGCTGCCACAAAGAAAAGGGAGTCAAACTATTCTCCAAAGCACCTGAGGGTAGGACAAGAAGCAATGGGTGGAAACTAATCAAGGAGAGAAGCAATTTAGAACTAAGGAGAAATTTTCTGACATTTGGAACAATTAATCAGTGGAACAACTTGCCTCCGGAAGTTATGAATGCTCCAACACTGGAAGTTTTTAAGAAGAGGTTGGACAACCATTTGTCTGAAGTGGTGTAGGGTTTCCTGCCTAAGCAGGAGGTTCGACTAGAAGACCTCCAAGGTCCCTTCCATCTATTCTATTCTATTCTATTCTATTCTATTCTATTCTATTCTATTCTATTCTATTCTATTCTATTCTATTCTATTCTATTCTGAATGCCCCCTTCCATGTAACGTGCCCAATTCCCAAGAGTTACTTACAATTATGAAACAACAGTAAGAGACAGCCTATTTTTATTCTACTTCAGGATTTATTGTGCAATTAATAAATCCTTAATGACCCAAGAGAAACAACCTTAGAGTAGCATTTTTGGAATTATTGTTCAGGAGACTGAGTCTTCTATGCATTTTTTTTTAAAAAAAAACTTATCAGTTTGATTTATTTATTAATCCATCCATTACTCTGGGCAGCTTATAATTAAAATGTATATATTGTATACTGAGATTTCTAATCAATGCAAACAATTATTCTTCAGAGTCCTAAATGCTATTTCTGTGTTAGTACATAGGATTTTATTTTTCATACAGTCCTGAAAAATTTGCACTTTGTTCCATGGAAGATTCAAACAATGAAAGCTAAAATCTCACAAGCTCTTTCCTTGCTAACTACATAACCCGGAAGTTGTGTTTGGGAATTATGCCACCTGGCCTTCCTTTCCAGACACAGAAGTTACTTATACTATGGTTGCAGTATCTAGGCCATAGGAACACTAATTGGCACCAAGACGTTTCCCTGTATCTCTTTGTTGTCACCAACTAGTTCAGCAGTCCATTTGTGGCACCTCTAGTTACAATCACTTGTGTATGCATCAGCTTGTGTGCTTGTCTGATGGGAGGAAATGGTTATGGACACTGAGGATTAAGGCTCAGAACTGCAGAAGTAAGAAAAATGTAGCCAGGACTTCAATGCTAATTTGACATTAGGTAGCAAGCGATGTACAAAGTGCAAATCACTAGTAGAATCACCGATTCAAATGGACACAACTATAAATTGAAATGTTATACCAGATTATTCCATTCACTTACATATAGATCTGGTCTATCCATATTTTAGATAGATGATAGATAGATAGATAGATAGATAGATAGATAGATAGATAGATAGATAGATAGATAGATAGAATTCTTTATTGGCCAATTGTGATTGGACACACAAGGAATTTGTCTTGGTGCATACGCTCTCGGTGCACCAAGACAAATTCCTTGTGTGTCCAATCATTTTCAGACGTTAGCCGTTTCTTTTCTTTTTGGCTTTCTTACTTTGTTTAACAATCACAACCAAAACCACCCTCCATCACACCACCAAGAAAAGACACTTACCAATTGTGCAGAACAGAAGGACAGAAAACGCAAGAAGAACAAAATTCTTCATCTTGATAAATCTCACCAAACTGGGAAAGAGGTGCTGAGTCTGTCAAGGACACAGAATTTATATAGACAGAAGAACTCTTTCCAACTCTGGAATTGACACTCTTTCAAACAGATCTTGGGATGAGAAATATAAGGATCAAGATTTTATTATCATTCAGGGATCAACCAATGGGATGAAGAATATGGTACATAAGACACACCTGATCTTTAGGAGATGAGAACAAGGAATGTAGATGATGACATGAGGATACAGTTTCAATCCAATTATAGTTCTGTTCTTGACACAGTTCTGTTGTTGTTCTTTGCCCCACAGATTTCAACAGATTTACTGTTCTTTCCATCAAAACAACAACAACAATAACAACAATAATGGAACAGAAATACTTATTTATGAGCTAAGTATCTAGAAGTGATACTGTTGAGTTTTATTTCTCAACCATATTTCTCAAGTATACTACACCAATTGGAAAGTTTAAGAATTCTCATCTCAACATCTAAGGATGGTGGCAAGTTGGGGAAGATGATTTATGTTCTTCCTAAAATGAGATAACTTTAAGCCATGCATTATAGCATTAATGTATATAGTGCACCTATCACCTTAGCAAATAATGAAGGATGCCTATTTTGAAATGAGATACCTTACCTTACAATAGTGATGGCAAACCTATGATGCCACAGTTATTTCAGTGACATGCTAGCATTCGTCAACACTTAACAACAGCTATTCTAGAAAGTGTTTTTAATCAGGGCTACCAAATATGGGATGGAGCATACTGTTTCCACTTTCAACCCCAATCCAGGAGTCTTCGCAGGCAGTCACTTTTGTGACAAACTATTTTTGTGTTAAATTTATATTTACCAACAAAGAAATGAAGGGAGACTAGTATAGATCTATTTCAAGCTATTTAGCTCTCGTCAGCTAGTCATAGCCTTCTGGGATTCGAACCCAGGCTACTTACATATTAGGTAGATCTAAGCAGTGTGCTCTGTTCCATATCTCCCCTGATATAGCCAACAAAGAAAGGGGAGCCTATGGCTTAGAGGTTAATACTTCTATCTAATATGTAAGCAGCCTGGGATCAAATCCCAGAAGGGTATGACTAGCTGATGAGAGCTAAATAGCTTGAAATAGATCTATACTGATTTTGTTAGTTGCAAAGTCATGTCTGACCCATCACGGCCCCATGGACAACATTCCTCCAGGCCAGGGGTCAGCAACCTGTGGCTCTGGAGCCACATGTGGCTCTTTCACCCCTCTGCTGCTGCTTCCAGTCACTCAAAATAAGCATCACAACCACCAATATGCGACACCCACCGGCACACAATTTATTGAGCTTTTCAACCCCCGGTAGGCCAACTATGGCTAAATCCAAGAAAAGAAAGGTTTCTGAAGAAAACAGAACGTTCAACTAAATATACTAGTTTTGTGGCCACTCAAGAAATAGTCAGGCACGGGAAGGGTTTTGTGGCTCCCAGTGTTTTCTTTTCTGTGGGAAACGGGTCCAAATGGCTCTTTCAGTGTTTAAGGTTGCAGACCCCTGCTCCAGACCTTCCTGTTCTCTACCATCCCCCAGAGTCCATTTAAGCTCACGCTGACTCCTTCAGTGACTCCATCCAGCCACCTCGTTCTCTGCCATAACAAAATCTAAGAAGTGAAATTGTGATGTGGACCAGAGGTTAGAAAATATAATGTCCATAATTATAACAAGCCAACTGAAACCAAGTGAGTGTAATCCTCTCCAACTTAAATCTCAATAATTTATGGAATCTGTGGCTAAATCAGGATGTAACTCATAACGTAAATGTAAGTGCATACAATGATATTGTAGGAGGAGAGATACGTTAGTCAAGATCAGGAGTCTGCTAGCATAAATTAAAAACCATATGCCCTTTAATAAATGAGTGGTTGGAAAAAGTGTTAACAGATCCCTGATTCAAAGCCGCACCGTCTTCCTGCTCAGATAGATACCTTTAGTTTCTTGCAATTAGCTAACCTCCCTCTCACAAAAAATGTTGCAACCTTTAACCAAGAGATCTGCAATATGACAAAGGCACTATTAGGTATCAGATGAAACAGTGGTCACTCCGACACAAGGAATTGAGGCAGTATAAATCCAAAACTAAGTCAGAATTAGAATTAGAATTAGAATACAGAATTGTATAGAGTTAGAAAGGTCCATTTTTATTTTTATTTATTGTGTGCTTGTGTGTATGTGCCTTTGAGTCACTGTTGTTTCCTGGTGACTGCTTGGACAAATCCCTCCAGTTTTCTTGACGAGGTTTTTCCTGAGAATATTCAGGAAGATTAATCTATCTCAGCATCTACTTCTGTCCTATTATCACAGCACCATTGAGAGTGTCCTGACATATGGCATTCTTGCATGGTATGGGAGCAGCTCTGCAGGGACAAAAAAGCTCTACAGAGAATCATTAAAACAGCCCAGAATATCATCGGGCTCCAGCTATCAGCCCTGGACGACATCTTCGCATCTCGCTGTTTGAGGAAGTTGCACAACATTCTCAGAGATGCTTCCCATCCTGCTTACAATCTTTTTGGACTGCTGCCTTTTGGCAGAAAATACAGAACAATTAGAACTCGGACCACACATTTTCTGAATAGTTTTTATCCCAGAGCTATAATTGCACTCAACAATGAACTAAAGGGCCACCATCAGTGAGCTGTTGGACAGCATTACTTGGTCTGCTGTGTGGATGTTTGGGTGGTTTAGGGGCGGGGAATTTGTGGTGGGGGGGTGGGGTGTTTGGGGATTATTGTGTGTGTTGGGCCTGGTCTTTGGGTGTTATGTGAATTTCATTGTATGGGTATACTGTGTATATACGTACTGACAATAAAGTTATACTTATACTTCAGAGGCGGTTTGCCATTGCTTTCTTCTTCCAAGAGCTGAGACAGAGTGATTGGTCCAAGGCTACCCAGTTGGTTTTGTGCCTAAGGTAGGACCAGAACTCACAGTCTCCCACTTTCTAACCTAATAACCATACTGACTATTTAGAAGGGTTAATTAGGCCAAGTCCTACTTTATGCTTATGCTGGAATACACATGGAAGTCTTTCCAAAATCTCTACCAGACTGCATATGTAAAAGGAACCTACCACCACTCTAGGTAACTGAGTCTTGTGGTTGAAGAGCTGTTGTTATTAGGATGTATTAAGAGCCCTGGTGGCACAGTGGATAAAGTGCGATATTGCAGGCAGACGCTGCCCTCAGCCTGAGGTTTGATCCTGACGGGGCTCAAGGTTGACGCAGCCTTCCATCCTTCTGAGACTCAGATTGTTGGGGGCAATATGCTGACTCTTTGAATGGCTTAGAAAGTGCTGTAAAGCAGTATGAAGCGGAGTGCCGACCCTCTGGAATGATTTGCCCACTGAGCTCAGGATAGCCCTGGACCTCCTCTCCTTTCACCACGAACTGAAGACGTGGCTCTTCCGTCAAATAACTTGATCTGCTAGGGGTTGCACAAACTGTAATAATTTTAAATATGGTTTTTAAGGGGTTTTTAACTTATTTTGTTATTTTGTGGTTTGTATTATTGATTGTTGTTGTAAGCCGCCCTGAGTCCTTCGGGAGAAATTGCAAAAATAAATAAATAAATAAATAAATAAATAAATAAATAAATAAATAAATAAATAAATAAATAAATAATCTAAGCATTATTGCTTTTGTATTACTAATATTTCTCTGTATGATTTGTCGCATCCAATTTGCTATCATCTTCCAACCTGACAGTAATTTCCTCTTTACTTTATCTAAATCATTGATAAAATGTTGATGGGAGCCAGGTCTAAGATAAAACTTTCCTGGGCTTGGCATCTTTGTTTACGATTTTCATCTCAGCTGTAGATCCTTCTAATAAACATCACCCAGTGCATATTTAATTAGATTGTTAGTTGGAATATCATCAGGTAGTTTGCCGAATGTTTTGCCAAACTCAGGTTACCTTATTTCTCCAGCATCCCCCCCAATCTATTAGAATTTACTTCGTCAAAAATAAATTAGCTTAACAAGTCTTCTGAATACATATCAATCTTTAGCAAATATTGTACTGTATTGTTTGGGATGCTTATCGATCAATCCTTAGATGCTCTGGAATTTTCCCATGTAAATGATGGCAAACTAATCTGTTTCCTTTTTTTTTTCTTTTATCTGTCTTTGCCTCTATTGAAGTTATGGAAACAATTACTGTTTTCCAGTCATCTGGAACTTCCTCTATTCTCCAGTATTTCTCTTAGCCAGCTAATCATCCTCCAGCTGTCCTCTCCTGGAACAGGAGTTCTCAAACAATGCTCGATGACCTCATGGAGGGCAAATTTAAGGAGATTGCAAATTTAGAGAGAGAGAGGACTTTCTCACAGAATACTAGATTGTAAATCCATGAGGATTTACAATCTAACATGACCTAATAGTACATAAAATTATCTGCTGCAATGTCCAACCTGTCAACAACTACTTCAACTTCAATTACAATAATACAAACAATAAATACAAACTCAAGGTAAACCGCTCCAAACTCGATTGCAGAAAATATGACTTCAGCAACAGAGTGGTCAATGCCTGGAATGCTCTGCCTAACTCTGTGGTTTCATCCCCAAAACCCCCAAACTTTAATCTTAGACTGTCTACTGTTGACCTCACCCCATTCCTAAGAGGTCTGTAAGGCGACGTGCATAAGCACACCAACCTGCCTACTGTTCCTATCCTACTGTCCCCATTTATTTGTATTCATTTCCTATGTCCATGTCCATGTTTATGCTTATACCTGTTATCTTGTACTTGTTTGACAAATAAATAAATAAAATAAAATAAATAAAATTTTATCGGGAGGAGGTGGCTTGACTAAATTGCAAAGCCAGAGGGAGCAGGACCTAAAAGCAGGACAGGGGATTTATGAGTAGAATAAGAGTATCCAGCAACCTATTCTTGCTAGACAGAGAACAGGAGCTACCAGAAATGTTGCCAGGCAGTTACTTTGACTGCCCATCTGGGGGAAACTTTACAGAAGAAGAAAAAAAACTCAGTAACATGGTTTCTGGCTTGCCTAAGACAAGCAAAACTTTCAACCAGCAATTTGTG